ACCTTTTGAATACAGAACGAGGCAAATAAATCAAGGATGACGCAGGTTTTCAGCCTGAGAAAATGCGTGGTGGTGCCATTTATTAGGAAAAGATGATGGGGTCAACACTGATGTATCCTTTTGTTATCAGGGCAGGGAATCAAAACTTGTTTTGAACATATTAATTTTGAGATGCCTTTTAGAGATGCCTGGCCAAGAAAAGATGCCAAGCAGGGAGGTGTTGGATCCATTAGTTGGAAAGAGAGCACTTAGAGCTGGGAGTATCCATTTGGGAGTCACCAGTGTAAAGATCATATTTAAAATGTTGAAAGTGGGTGATATCACCAAGGAGAAGAGTTCTGGCAGAGAAGGGGCAGCCAAACCTTCAATCCTATGTCCCACACTCACTCCTGGTCATGGCCATATACCATAGCACAACAATTCCACCCCTCCCATTCCATTAAATTAAGCAAGCAATTATAGGTTCTTCTGTATGAAAGGGGTTACCCTAAAGAATAAGGGGCTACAAAGATAGGTGACTAATATAATGCCATCTCTCCAGCTGCTCACAGACTGGTAAAGGAAGAGTATCGATAATATAAAAGATAGAATAGGTGGATGTATTTCCAAGGATGTGGAGGGGATCTTCGAAGGATGAACTTGGGAAGACAGGCTGGGAGCAGATCACAAAGGGTCGAGAATTTGGGTATCCTTTTCCTGCTTAGATAATGGGACACCACTGAAGATTTCTGAGTTCCACAATGAGGGTAGCACCTTTCTGTCCCATTCATGGTGTACTCATCTCCTTTGTCTGTCTGAAACCTCGCCTCATCTACGACGTGTTGTCCACCTTCTGCTACCACTCACTTTTCATCTTTAAGTCCTCCTGTTTACCATCTAGTGCTGATCCATGTAGCACTTGATGACACATTGCCTCTTTCATACAGTTTATTGTAGGAACCTCTTACTCTTTTACTGGTCTATAAATTCCTTCTAAGCCAGGTCCCATGACTTAAATCTGCAGTCTCTGGCTTAGGGATAGGAACAGAAGAGAGCCACAAGCAATGCCTCTTGATTCAAGTGCCACTTCTTCAGGGAATTCTCCTTTCATCTCCGATTGGATCAGTTTCCTTTGTTCTAGGCTCTCATAGCATTGTTTTCTAGCACACCTCTCTGTTTTTAACTCTAAAATGTATGTGTCTATTTGAATGGGATATGTACTCCCACAGGCTCTGAGTTCCCAGAGAGCAGGGACCGCCCATGGTTTTGATCAAGGTAGTATCCTTAGTTTGTGTGCAACAAACATTTGCTGAAAAATTGAATGGACATGCCTTAGGGGTTCAAGGTCAAAGGGCTTAAGTGAAGTAGCCTCTGGCATGGTCCAACCGTCTGCCTCAAGTTTCTGAAATAGCAATGAGATTCACACAGCAGAACTGTCTCACAGAGGGAGTCTCTCATGATGAAGTCCCCTTCTCCATAGGAACACTTTCCCAGAGAGTGGCTCTTGTATGGGGAGGAGGCCCCTTGAAGGCTAATGTGTCATCACTTAGGGCACTGGAGTCCTCCTTTTCGCACAGCAGAGGAGGAGGCAAAGCAGTATTCGTAACTGTCAGGAAGAATAAGCGTGCTGGCAGCAGCTACTGATCTAGGCAGATGGAGCGACATATGTATATTTACATATATATTTCCTAATCAATAGATTCCAGAGAAAACATGAAAACTCAAGAACATGATTGGAATCTAAGGGGCTCTGAAGGAGTTTAATTCCTTAAAGGAAATTAGCACAATTGTTTTTCTTTTTTCCCCCCTGCAGTCGACTTCAGGAGAAAACAAATAGTATTATTTGAATAATCTAACTTTCTTCCCTAAATATGTAAATTTCCTCTTCCAAATCTAGTAATTGTTCTAAGAAATGCTTTTCAGGGGCAGCCAAAAAGAGCTTTGAAATCTTTAACCCTACTTCTGGCCCCCGCTGCATCTGTCTCCCCTCACCAGCCACACAGGCCTATTTCTTCTCTCTCCAAAAGGCCAACCTTGTTCTCCTCTAGGAACTTTGTCATTGCATGTTCTTGGCAGGTGGTCAGTAAATATGTTAATGAATGAAAAGGCTAAGATAAGCCTATTATGCCCCAGCAGAATCCCATAACTTGTCTGTCTGCTGTTTGAGCCACATGGACTGGAGACAATATAAGTGACAGCTTGAAGATTTAGCCTAAGATTTATTGCTTCTGATTCTCACTTTGTTCATGCATGTAAATATCTTCAAGGAAAATGGTTTGCAATTTTATCTACTACGGAACCACATTTTGCTTCTGTAATTCATGTGAAGATGACCTTGTTGTATATTACCATTTGCATACAACTTCCATTCTTTCCTCCCTTTTAAACCACAGAACCCTTTGGGGCAATGTGCTCAGTTAAAAATAACCATATTCATCACCTCAGGCTTTCTAACCACTACACAGGTAGCCATGTAACCCAGTTCTGCCAGCGAGTAGCAGTAGTTGGGTGAGGCTTCAAGAAAGCTATTGCCTTCTTTATAAAAGGGTACAAACTCAGCTGCTCTGTGTCTTCTGTCCTTTGACCTTGTACCCTTTTCCCTGCTTGGAACCCAGACATGATGCTGGAGGTAAAGTTGTCCTGTGTAGCAGGTGCTGTGGGTGCTCTATCCATAACCCACTGGCTTCCCACCATTCCTACACTCACCACAGGCTTCCTACCAAAGCCCCCATGACTCTGTACCTGAGGGGTTTTGGAGGCTACAGGATCATGCTTAGCCTGTGTGTGGCGGGTTGGAAGTGCCAGAGTTAGTGACCCTGGGAGCAGCTCTCAATGACAAATGGGAACTACTTTGAGGCATGAGCTACATACAATGGGGCAGACAGAGCTCCCTGAGGTCCTCAGTAGGGACAAACATCAGTTGCCCATAGCAGTAACTCACTAATTAATGCATCCTATAATGGCTTTTTTCTTTTCTGTCTCACTTCCCCACACCCCTAAATGCCTGGGATTACCTTCCAGATACACTACTTGCACATGAATCCTCTTGGGGGCTCCTGGAAGAACCCAATCTAAGACATCTTGTGACCAAGCAGAAGAAAGCCACATACTAAGTGTGTAGGGGAACCTAGAAGGAGCCTGAGCCCTTGATGCCAGACTTGAGCCACTGTACCAGCCTTGTTCTGCTTTCCTCTGGACTTCCCATTTGAGAAAAAGAAACCTCTTATTTGGGTAAGCCACCACAGTTCAGTTTCTATAGCATGTAGCCAAATGTACCTTTAACTGAGAGATCTGGAGGAATTTTTAGTTGAGTACAAATGCGACCAGTCGTCAGCTGGATATGGTTGCTAACAAAGCTGACACTATGATTACTAGCCCCACACTGCATGGCATACTACAGCTAACACCAGGTTTTGATGCTGTACTTAATGCTAATTTTGTGAGGTAGGTATCATCAGCCCCATTTTACTAAAGCCCAGAGAGGCCAAGTCCCATGGTTACATGGCTAGTGGTGAAATCACAACTCCAAGTCCAATGATCTTTGGCCTCAGGGAGATAGGGGCTGTTTTCATTGTGAGGAGTCTATGGAATTTAAGTCACAAGTCCCACCTCTTGTTTCCTTTGCCTGTCTTCTGAGATTCTGTGCTTTTCCATCATCATCCTTTACTCCCAGAGGACTGCAGTTGCTTGAGTCTAACAGAGCTACACCCTCCCACCTGCCAAATATCATCACAAACTTTATGTATTAGTTCGTGTTTTCCAAAACATGTCCAAAATCCTTGTATCTGTAGGCCTTTGCTCAAGTTTTGGCCTTTGCCAGGAATGCCAAACTTCAGAAGTGGGAAACTGCAGCATCTGGGTCCAGCGAGGATGGTTAGGTAACTGCATCCTCATGGTAACTGTAGGCAGCAAACCCATGTAAGTAAGTATGAATCATAGCACCAAAATATGAATGCTTAGTATTTGTAAACTTCAAATGGGTAGCCATGGTGGCATCCAACTTGAATTCAAGTTTACTCCTGCTTAAATTAAAACCATTAACATCAAATTTCATCACACATAAAAATGAATATATACTCTAGAGAAGATGCCAGACAGGTGAAATATAATACATTAAGTGTTTAATATTTTACATTCAAGGATGACTTTAAAAAATGACAAAAGTATAAGTATCCACTAAAATGGTGACCATTTAAACATCTTCAGAGCCATACCAAGTAATACCCATCTACCTTTATGAAATGTGTTGAGAACCTACGAGTTTATGTATAAGGCTGAGCATTTTCAACCTTACTGGCCTGCAAGAGAAAAGACTGTGTTCTCTTACTGGTGACTTAGGAAATGTGGAATACTTGTGTCATAACTGCTGGTGTGTGGAGACAAGGCTAGCACCCATGAATGGCAGGACTCTTGTCAGGAAAACAAGCATGCCGTGCTCCCACGCCACTCTGGGACCCGGGAGACAAAGTCTGCTCCTGGGTGAGACTACACGCAGGGCGTGGCAAGGGCTGTGCCAAGGGCTTCACTGAGGCTGAGGGACTGCAGGGAAAGCAGTGTGCTTTGATTTTAAAATACATGTTAAGTGAAGCAAAGAAGCCAGAGGCCTTCTTAACCACCATTCCAGGTCAGCAACTCCCGAGATGTTTGTAACAAGGTAGTTGGTAGGAAATACAAATGCTCACTGGGCCAGACTTAAGACTTAACCTATCATAACAGCTGCAGCTTTGAGGATAGGCTTATCAGCTCAAAAGATGCCTGTGTGGTTTCAGCTGGTATAACATTTATAAAATGCTTATGTGCCTATTTTTGGTAAATTTATTTCACAAAGCCACTGTTTCATAAAGACAATAAGTAACATTAAATACAAGATAAAGTGTATAAATGAGATAAATATTTCAACTACATCTTATTGAGTAAAGACCTTTTCACGATAAAATTCAATGAGATGAAAGTATAATTATACCAGTTATTATCAAAAGGCTTTTAGACTATACTTTAAATTCAAAAGGTTAAACATTTTACAAAAACGTGAGATTAATTATATATGAAGGTATTTGATAAGGAAAATATTAGCAAGTGCAATTTCCCTCCTCTTGAAAACTAGCTTTAGAGATACCAACTCTGATTAAATTTTGACCTACTTTAATTCCTTAATGATGACACCATAACCTGGAATATTCAAAGTAATCCAGTTTGGCCACCAAATTAAGTCACCATTATGTTTCTAAAATAATTTATCCAGGATATACTGAAGTAGCTCATACTTAATTATTATATAATAATGTGTGAACTTACAGGTTTTAAAATATTTCCTATATTTTTACAAAGCCCCATTTCCCATGACTTTGCATTAAATATGGTATACCTTAGGGTTCTACACATTCATGTCCATTATGAAAACATGTGGGACAAATTCATTCTCTTTATGTGACGTTACATTCTATGAAATGACCCCAGAGATGCTACATTGGGACAGGACTGGGGATACTACCTGAAGATCTGAGAAATGTTCAGGGGACAGATCACAAACAAGGGATTTTAAGAAGTTTTAATTTTTCAAGAGAAACATTCGGGGAAGGGAAAAGTGTTCTATAAGCTAGGGTATGTTCAAGAGCCCTTGCCCTCATAGCCAAAAGTATGAAAGCAGTTTTTCTTAAAGAAATACAGGTCTTTGAGCCAAGGTAAGCTTTGGCTAAATGGCTAAATGACTGGTAGTTTTTGTTTGGCTCTGAAGGTTTCCATGGGAACAGCCTGAGAGACAGAAAGGGCAGCATTATCATATTTATCTCTAACTGCTACCTGATAAAACTGCACATTCATTCATTCACCTCCCCAGAACAGATCTATTATCTCTGATAAGCCTGGACAAAGGAAGGCCTGAGTTCTATCTGGTAACACTTTGAATTTCCTGCCTTCCTTTTCTTGAAACCTTAAATTAAAATCCTGACAAAACCTACTCTGAACATTTCCCACAGGACCCCCTAGTTCAAGAAATGCTTCAATAATCAGAAGCCAAATGAAGAAACGTGAAGTACTGAATGGAGCTCCACTGCCAAGTTCTTAAAATTATAGGACACCAAGCTTCCTGTAGCTAGAGAAATTATTTTGAAGAGTATTGACAATTCTATTGTATCAGATCTCAGCCAGGCAAGAAATAGGGTCTTAAAGTGTTTATTACAAATGGTTCAATCAGGGGACATCATCCATAATTTTTCTCCCTCTTTATGTCTTGATCATTTGTATGTATGCGTATATAAATACCTATGTATCCATATCTATCTATCTAATAATATATTTAATATGGCAACATACACTACAAACAATTATTTAATCTTATTTCAGGTTAGTGCTTCCCAGAAAGACCACAAAAGCCCTAACTCAATTCTTTATCTGGAGTAAAAAATAAAATCTTCAACAGTAAAATATAAACAAAACAAACAAGATAAGGAGGCATGCATGCAACCTTTAGCACCATATTTAAGACCACAGAGGGCAAGAAGGGTGACAGAAGCCTAAAGAGGAATCCAACTCTGGGTTTCCTCCAGGAACAGGATCCCAAACGCAGAACCCTCCTGTCAAGTCCAGTACTTTTAAAAAGGGAAAGCCTGAGAAATTCTCTCCACAGAAATGTCAAAATCCATGATTTACCAGAGACAGATAATTTGACATGGTTTCTTATTCTAAAAGCAGAAGATGCTATTCCTTAGAAACAAATGCTTCACTTTTGGAGATCAGTTGGGAAATTGCTGCCAGCCCAGTGACACTTCAGTAAGTTAAAAAGACAAAATACATCCCCCAATGGACCAATTACTCATGGGAAGTAGTTTACTAATGAGTAGTTAGCTCCCTAATATCTCTGTAACGATATAGACATGGGCTACACTGAAGAGATTCAACCTAGTACATGCAACTGCACATTCCACAAGGCAAAATGACTGGAAAACACCCACATCTTCATGCACTATGGCACTGGTATAGAAATCTAAATCATGGAATAAAGCCTCAGCTTGGTCCTTTCCATAAAAAGGAACTAAAAGTCCAAGGAAGGACTTATTCAGAGACGTGCTAAAGATTTCAGTGGATTAAAGGTGATGGGTAAGAAGTTATAAGGCTAGAAACACCTTTAGGTATTACATAAAGCAAATACCTCATCTTATTGGTAGGGAAAATGAGGCCTCAAGAAAGGTGTCAGCCCTAACCAATGGGCGAACAATGACCAGAGAAGCCATGGAACTCTCGGTGCAGCACTTTTCCCATTATGTTTACCTCTGAGGCTCCTTTCAATTTTCACGTGTATCATCTACTCAAGCTGGAGGATAATGACTGAGAAATATCAGACAGGAAAACGCTGCCTTTTTACAAAGATTTTGGCAATAATGCACGTTCTGATGTGCTTAACTGGAATGTGGGGACAACCCTGGTCATCTTTTGTTAAAAATGTTATTTCCTGCATGAAACAGGTTCCTATTCTGAGAGCAGTTTTTGCAGGTATTGGGAGAGCTCAAAGCTGGCAGTTTTCATATGCCTCATCTTTGTGGTTAGAGTTCGACTCAGCAGGTCCCATATCATCAGGCGGGCTGAAGTGACTGCTGTCTTGAGAATCTGCACCAATACTTTTGGTCTCTGACTGAAGATGAACAGAAACCTGAACTGCTATCTCCTGGCCTTGTTCATTCAGTGAACCATCGTCCGAATCTCCTCCTGGTGAATTACTCCGTCCCATCTCTGGGTTAATGACATAGATGCCACCTTGAGCATTCAAGGCAGGTCTCTCTTTAATTCTTTCTCCCATGTCATCAGGGTCATCCATTCGCACAGCCTCAAACATCTCCTCAACAAAGGCCCTGCAGTTTAGAATAAGTGGTGGAAGAGGGACGCTTCGTGCCAGTTCTTCTATGTAACGAGCAAACTCCATAGTTTTAAATTGTGTGACTTTGGCGAGCTCCAGAGTCTTGGCTGAGGTGATGATGGGGATGCGTTTTGCAATCTCAAATGCCTTCTGAAGTTTCTCAGCCCCTTCGGTTCTGAAGAATTCATTGATAGCCTTTTCGGTCTTACGAAGATGGCTGCTCATCATGCAGAGTCGTGTGACATTCAAGATGAGAGTGATCGTAAAGGCAATCAGGCAAACGATCATGTAGTAGACACTCATGTCTCCCGAGGTGAAGATAACACGCAGGGTGACAGAGTAGGAGGCACGAATTGGAGAGGTGACGAAACATGTGTAGAGCCCACGGTCATCAAAGGCTACGTTGGTGATATTCAGGAAGTTATCAGAAACCAACCATTTTCCACCTGATAACCCAACAGAAATAAAAAAGATTACAGCATACAGAATATTACCACTAAATATGCCAACTGGCTTATTAATATTTCTTTTCTTTCATGAGAGTACTTGAACTCATCTATTAGGTTCTGCTTTTGGTTCAAATCATACAACAAACGGTGGACTGGTACGTCTAGGGTCAGAATTTAAATAGCCTGGAACTTAAAAAGGAAATCAAGATCTTCCTTCCTGCCAGTAATGATTATCATGGCTCCCTTTTCACTGCTAAGTGTAATGAGGCTTTTAGGGAGACGGGTACGCCTATATAATACTAAATGACTAATCCTAAAAAAATGTTTATATGTACACAGGCATGCCTCGGAGATATTGGGGGTTCAGTTCCAGACCACCTCAATAAAGCAAGTATTGTAACAAAGCAAGTCCTAATCATTTTGCTGGTGGAGGCTGTGCCTTTAATTTGTACAAAAAAAAAAAAAAGAAAAAAAGAAAAGGGAACATTTGTGAAGCACAATAAAGCGAAGTGCAACAAAACAAAGTGTGCCTGAACGTGTGTCCACATTACAGTTTCTACCTACATGTGTTCATATACTAGAAGAATATGCCTCAGAAATAGAAAACAATGGTCATTTCTGGGTGGTGGGTTATGAGTAATTTTTATTTTCTTCTTTTTATTTAACTGCTTATTTTCGATAATGAACTTATATAACAAGAGACAAAATTGTTTTTAAAAAATCCCTACTAATTTAATGAATTTGTTCAATTACTAATTGGCTAATGGGGCATGCCTTGCACATGTTAATTTGTTTTGTTAGAAAAGGTTTGTTGATGATATCATCTTGATTTTCTGGCAAGAGTAACTGACGCACATGCCAAAAGACATGTCTCACAAGTGAGAGTAAATGAGCAGTTTGGTAAGAGGATAAAGTTGTCTTTAAGATGCCTGGACTTCTGTTTTTAACCTAAAACATGCCACTTCTCTTCCATACATGAAGGTATCTCCATTCAGGAAACTTGCGCACAAAACTGTAAGAAGGTATGAAAGCAAAGCATGCTGACCTTGATGCAATATCCTTTAATAACTTGGTTCTGCTTGCACAGTTCTCACTCTCACGTTTGCAGTACATTTTCAGCACACTCTGTGCTTTAACTATGGCAGTCATTCAAAGATGGGATCAATGGGCTAATCTGGGGTGTAGGTGTGGCTACAGATGGTGTCCCAGAGGCGGCTAGGTGACTGCTTCTTAGGCACAACCTGAATCCTAATCTTCGAGATCTCTTTAATTCCCGAGATTTTATAGTTCTAGATTATTTTTGTGGCACATCTCTAAGTAAGCACTTTGGATTGTGCTTAGCGTTTTCATCATCAAAATTTATGTAAATTCCATAGTATATGTAATAGCCATCACTTCACCAATATAAAAGGAGAAGGAAAATATGTAGCTATAAATAAAGCAATTGTTCCTCAAGCTTCTGTCTTTTGAACTTGGAGCTATGAAAAGGATACCCCAGAAATCCAAGATGTGATGAACTACATAGACTTCATTCATCACTTACTGTGCAATGACCACAATCTAAACTCTCTAGCTCACTTGCTGATAATAACTCAAGCTTTATGAACCTTATACTAGACGGGCATGTTCTTTAAACTCCTCTCACTCACTTGAGAGTCATAAAATTTAATACAATTTTCTAGAGCTGTTGTTGAAAGCATCAATGATAAATGTTAGTTTAGTGGTTTTCAAAGTAAAGGCAAAACAGGAAAATAAAACTGCCATTCCAATTGGCTAGTCTCAAGCTAACCCAAGCTTTGCTTAGGGAGTCAGTCTGTAATAATCACATTAATTAAATAATTCAAATCTCAGATGTATTTGGTCAGGATCCTACAGCCCAAAGGAGGTAACAGTCTAGTTCAATGAGTGCAAACATGGAACCCCAAATCTTGTCCATAACATACATTCTGGACACCGCTCTAGGGATTCTGATTTAATAGGTCTGTATTTTTAAGAACCTAGTTAAACATACATTGCTCTTTCTAACAGTTCAAATATTTCAAATCCCCTGGTGACTGGTTACTCAGTTTGTAGACGTTTAAAATGTTTAGTATACACTTTAGAAGGAAACACCACCTGTCTCCTCTTCTGTTTTTTTCTCTACTGTGAATAACCAATTAGATTATCTTTCTATTAAGAAAGATAAAGGGCCTTTTCCGAAAGTGAACCTTGTAAGAATCCCAGATTTAATCTTTATCCTGATGATTCTTCATGGTGATATCTTTTTGACATGCTTTAACCCAAGTGGTATTTAAAAAAAAAAATCTTTCTAACAGAAAACTAGTTGAGGAAACAGTCTTCTGATTAAGATGTGTTCACAGGACCACAAACAGCAAAATCAAAAACCTGTCAAAAAGCAGACCTTGGTCACATTAGGATGACATTTGTGTGATTTTTAAAATGGAGATAAAAAAATACTAGATAAACTCTCCCGTTTTCAAGTAAATTAAGAGCATAGAATAGAAGGGAAAAACTGAGCTAGAAGGGCTTACAGAGCTCCTCCTCGGTGAGCCTGTAATTCTCAGAGGGACTTAAGGCTTTAGCACAGATCTATAATCATTTAAAAACACAAAAACAAAAAAACCAACCACCCTAAAACCCTGGATTTCCTCTAACACTTTTAGTAACTGATTTCTGAGCACTTTTTTTTTTTAAACAAATTTACTTAAGTCTAGCCAGAATCCTTCCTGCTGCATTCACACAGGGCCATCGCACTGCACTGCTCATGTCCCCGTGGAGGCGAATGGTCCCCCTGGAGCTGTGCACTGCGGAGCTGGTGCAACTGCAGGCAGCGGCCCTGACAGACTCCACCTTCACGAAAAAGCAAGCCGACTCACCAAGAGGAGAGGAGGGGGCTCACTGTCATCATATGACTACCTTTCCAATGTATAACTATGCCTTATTTCGTTTTTCTTCAGGTTAAGTAATTATAATTCATTTGCCTTTTTTGATAGGTATAATATTCCAGGCCTTTGAAAAGTTTTAAGTATTCACCCTGGAACCTCCACCTTTGAGACTTCTTGTTGAATATACCACAAAACCAAGAAGAAAGAAGCGACAGGAAATGATTAACCTTAATTATACCCTGGCATAGTTACCTCTGTCTCTGTCATCCAGCTGGTGTCCTTTAGAGTTGTACCAACGCACATCTTCATAGTGCTTGACTGAGAGAAGACACTCGATTGAAACACTAGCTCCCTCTTTGGCTATGATGACATCATCACCTGAGTGGGAGCCTGCTGAGAGTTCAAAGCTTGGGGGAAATGACACATTGAAAGAACTATGATTTGCTCCCAGTGGGTCCATTTGGTTGAAGTCCACATCTTCCAAAACAAAAGCAGCCGGCACAGTAACACTCACCACTAAAGTGAATAAACAACAATGTGGCTTCATGGGAAAATGGGAGACAATCTTGTTTAGATTTGGAGAGAGCTTCTGTATTGTAACAAGAGTGGCAATTGCTAATTTATTGCTTGGTATTGGAGTTTTCCAAAAAAGTGGTAGATCCAAATGAATTTTGAAGTCTTCAAGATTAAAACACGTGAGTGAAGACCAACCTAAAAAAAAAAAGCCAGATACAAAGTTTAGCCAACAAAGACTCATAATGGGGTAAAACTTTAGGTTCTATAAATGAATAGATGTAAAATTGATTAGAATAATCAGTGCCAACATCAGGGAGTAAGTGCAATAGAGAGAACACCACCTAAAAATCTCACAAGAGGTAGTAGAAAGAACACTGAACTGGGAAATGGCAGACCTGGATTCTGGTCCTACAAACTGGCTGTACGGCTTTGGCAAGTAGCTGGGCTTGTTTTTATCAAGTAAGGGACTGGATAAAACAATTTTTAAAGACTCTGCTAGTTCTGAAAATCTGTGTTTCACTCTGACAAATTCTATGCAACAGGGAGACAATGAAGGCTAATATATTTAGCCTAATGATCTTTTATTTCAACCTGCACTACCTGTTGTTACATCAAAAATGTAAATCAACTGGTATATCATAATCATAACCATGGAGCTCAAAATTTGAGTAGCTCAAGTACACAGATATATTAGATATAAATAACGCAGAGGCAGTTGGGGTAGTTTTTAAATTTAATATTAGAAAGAAAATTGCACTGCTGTATATATATAAATATACATATACTGACTTCTGAGGCTATAACACCCTTGGCCAAGAATGTTAGACAAAATAATTTGCCTTTAACAGTTTCTTCAATATCAAGAGACAAAATATAGTACCTTTAACAGTTTGTAAGAATACCAAATTTCTAGCTCAAACTCTGTAAAATTAGCTAAGGAAGGAACTGATATCTTAAATGACTAGTTAGTGGAAATGCAAATATAAGCTATAGGGAATGATTACCAAACAAATTTAAAAGAAGCGTAAAATATCATGAATAAAAAGCAAAATGGTACCCCAGTCTAAGAGTTTATGTGATTATGATCATTGTCCTGGTAATTTGATTCCTCTTTTAAATCACTGTCTCTTGAAGAAAAGTTTCAACTCTTATTTCTATAAAATATGGGATGAAACCCTTAGCTTTACTTCTTACAAGGCCCAACATAATTAGTATTAGAAATGACATTTACTCCCCTTTATACTTTCATGAAGGCTTCTTATTAATTTAACATAAAAAGCAATGGATCATTGTATTTTGCCATTAAATTCCTCAAAGTCTGAATTATAATAAGCTGTAAATGTCATTTAATTTTCATTAGCCTATAAAAGGATGGCTGAATGATGAAAGTAATTTTCTGTATCTTTCTATATCTTTCAAATTTAAGGACAGACTAATATTTAGAGTAAAACAAAAAGCTTCAGATGTTGTTATATATAATAGATTGAACACATATGCTGATTTTCATTTCCTCCCAAAACCCCACTAAAGTGACGCAAAAGGAAACAAAGCACTTGGGCCCAGGTGTTCACCAGGACTTTGATGAGGTGTTCCTTTCATGCATTTTTTGCTTTATCTGTATACCAAGTTATTACTATTTATGCTTTTTCTTTAAATCAACTCATTATTTCACTTTCATACACTTACTTTAGAAGGAAAGTCTGTATCACATCTGTGCATAAAAGTAACTGTACACATAAACACAATAAAAACAAAGCAGTGTTACGTTCTGAGATACTGCCATCTGCTGAAGGCTCTGCGCTAGCCTATGCCCTTTGCAGTGAAAAGAAACATGAAAACAAACGAAACAAGGAAAAACCCCGTAACTCCACTGTATTCTAATACCACATTTCTTATCCTGTCATTTCCTTCCCCCACACTTTTGCCCACCACTGAGTTTAGAACCATTATTTTAGACTAGAGGTATACATTTTTCATCTACACAATAGAATCTATTGAGCACCTACTATATACAACTTACTGTACTATAGACACTGTCTCCTCCTTCATGGAGCTCAGTCTGCCAGAGGACATAGACACTAACTACACACATTCAAAATATATTAAATGCTACCCAAGGGAAAGTATAGCAGGTGACAGGAGCACCCAACATGGGACGCTAACCTCATTGCAGAAAGCCTCCCTGAGAAAGTGAGATGTGCGACGGGACCTGAGGGATAAGCAAAGTTCGAGAATGGAAGTGTTCTAGGTAAAGGGACAAGAGGACAGGGAAAAAGCAGATGGGCCCCTGGTTAGGAGGTGTTCGGGGATAAGAGCTACAAGTTGTAGTAAGGAGAGATGGTGACCAGAAAGTGCTGGGTCGGATTCCTGATTCTGGAGGGAAGGAGTCTGGGCCAACACCAAAACTGGAGGTGCACTTTGGGGATTGGAGTGGAAGGCTGAAGTGAGTAAAGAAGAAAACTTGTCCAAGATGAACAGGCCAAAGAACTGAGAGGCTTAAGAGTGCGATAGATGCAAAAATGGTGATATCCCTCCCCCCAGGTTAAGGTAGCTATGGTAGAAGACACTGGAGACGGAAGAAATGGACTCTCTTGCCCAGAGATGCAGGAGCCTCTGGGGAATGAACAGTCTCCACATGAGTGGGCTTCCTGCAAGCAGTGTCCTGGCGGTGTTACTGCTGTGTGGAATCCCTCCTTCAGGCAGCCTCCCTGAGCCGCCCCTCAAGCCCTGGCTCCCCCCATACATGGATGCAGCACTGACCTGGACACAGGATGGCTCTTCCCTGACCCCTGTAGCCCTCATCATTACACTACATACCTGGCTATCGCGGACGCTGCTCTGTACTGCTAGGCAGTCGACCCCACCTCACCTGTGAGCCCCGTAAGCACAGGGCCTATAATTTTTATTGCTATACCGCATAGCTAGCATACACTCAATAAATATCTACTGATGGCGATTAGTTTAAATTTGATTAAGTATGTGATGACTCTTTATAAATCAAAGGATGTTATGCAACAGGGATCATAATTACTGAAACCAACATGCATTTATAGCACTTGTATTCTCTGTCACAAAAAGAGACAATGCTAACAATCTTGAAAGAACTTATGGGCATAATACCAAAAGAAATTCCTTGAACCAAACCTCAAAGTCTTCATTAACATCTTGTTCCAGAAGATGACGGTGGGAATAACAGATTACCAAGTCCAGAGTTTCAAACCAGGCTGAATATCACAATCATCTACAGAATAAGAACCACTGGGTTCAGACCTTGTAACTTGAGGTTTTTTATCAGCTTCCAGAGTGATTCCGCGGCAGACGGCCCCTGACTGGCATCCAGAGACATACACTTGCTTATTTCCTCTACAGCAGCCCTATCTAATGGTGCTCCAGACTGGGTGAACACTGCCAATACGACAGAACTATCACGCACATGCCACTTTGGATTAAGATTACCCTGGAACATCATAATTGCAGGCCTCTGATTAAGGCGGGGTAGCAGAGGAGTTCGAAGTACAGACTCCAAAGTCTGATTTCCTGGATTCCAATCCTGGCTCTAATTTTAACAGCCTTGTAACTTTTGTTAATGACAATAATAGTACGTGTTCTCATAGGACTATTGCGAGCTCTGGATGTGACAGTATATATAGAGAGTCTGGCAATAGTAATCACTGATTTCCATTATACAATTTCAATCTTTAATTTTAAATTTCACATTTTTTTCCTCACTGCAAACTAATACGTTGCAAAAATATGTATCAAACAGGCATTGTAAACTACGCTTGGCCTCCAACCACATAATATGCCTAACACTGTTTTTACATGTCCTGAGTTTGTGTGGAGAACCTTTGTTGTGAGTTACCTAGCCCATGTTTCCCTTTTTTGAACTCTGTCTTCTTTGGCTCCTGAGAGAAATCTACTTCCTGGTTTCAAAAAGACTGTTTTTGTTCCCTCCTAAAGAAACAAGCATCTTTATTCAACTTTATTCAAAATTAAAACCACAAAAGTCAAGGAAGTGTGCAAACAAGAAAGGAAATGAAGAAATGGCTAGAAAGGAGAAAAAAGATTAAGTTCATCAAAAGTGACTAGGCTGTGCTCTGGCCAGCAGGCAGTCCTCATATGGACCCCCCCGCCCCCCTCCTCATCCGCTGGTGTGGCACACAAACTGCTCATGCAGTCAAGAGCTGAGGTTCGGTTCTATACAGACAGCCACGTGCCTGTACTAAGAATTTAGAAAAAACTGAGACAGGGTCTAGAAAAATAATATGAACACCTTTAAACTGCTCTTAGGCCAAAGGTGGCAGAAGTAACTTGGTACAGTAATTTATGCTGGGAGAGCAATAGATCATATAACATGCTTATATGGCCAGCCAGTTAAGATAGGCTCAGTCTGGGTACTTCATACTCATACCATGGGCATCCTGAACACAAAGGACTTGTAGTCTAAGCTACTAAGAGATACAGCCCATGTGCAGATAAGAGGCTATTTAGCAGCTGGGAGAGAAAACACTGGCAAAGGTATGTGTGTTCAAAGTGACATGAGCAGACAAGAGAGTAAGGGAACCAATCACTCTTGGGATCAGGATATCCTTGACTTATCTTCTCATACTTAACTTCCTTTTACTTAAATTAGTGTGAATTGGTTTCTGTTATCGGCAACAAAAACTACATTGATTAAAAAAATCATTTTACTCATTCTGGAGTAAGGATTTTAAACCAGTTTAGTGACGCGAGGGGCTCATCATGCAAAGATGAAGTCCTGGGTGCTGCAAGGGAAGCTGAGGTGGACTAGGGTGCCGTCCCAGACCCACAGGGATTTACAAACTAGCCTGCAGGCAGAAACAGCTAACTATGTACAAGACAGTGTGAGAGGTACTGCGAGAAGTGTAATTGTGCTGTGCATGCATAAGAGAAAGAACTTTGTGAATTTTAGAAATACAATTCACTTTATGTTTGGGACTTCCCATATATCATGCCTGCTATTCTCAATGCAGCAGCTGATATTTGGAGGCTAAGAAGAAAGGGTTCAAAAAGGAAAATCAAAGTGCCACCTCCCTGTAAGCAGTGAAAAAGGGCTATGCTACGCTTGTGGATGAAGTTCCTCCGTAGAATTTTTTATTACCTTGCTTCAGCATGAATAAGAAAAACAGAAAAGTGTAATACTCAAATTTATTCCAACGCCTTTTTCATCTTTTAAGTGTAGTAAAATGTAAGCTTTACTGAGTTCATGAATAATCAGAAATGTAGATGATTTTATTCTACAAAACCATTCTGAATATTGGTTATATCATTAAAGAAAAAAAAGAAAGAAAAGTGTCTAAACTGTCATCCCTAACAGATTGCCTTGTTGCTGTTCCTGCCAACTTCTATGAAATATTTGCATTCTGTTCCAATTCTCAACAGCAGTAAATAAGGAAGTAATGTGGCTGATTTCCGTTTCTGTGGCTCAAGATTAAGTTGGCTGAGGAAACTGCTGTTTGCAGAAATAGTTCTGGGATAACTCAAAGGGAGGAAAACACTGATGCCCAGATGGTATTGGCTTTTGCTCCGAGTATACTGGGATATTAATGCTTCATTCTCCATAATTAAATGTGTTCTAGGCTGTGTTTACAGCTCATCCGCTCTTCTCTGCCTGCACTGTTACATTTGAAAAATGGCGAAGTCCCCCTACCCCGGCACACAAACGGTCAGAGTGGCATTCTGAATTGGCAGAGGGGAGAAAAAGCAAGTGGAGATCCAATTTTGTGAGCGTATTGTTAACACTCCACTATTCTTTGCAAGGAACATACAGTTGTTCTGCTTATAGTGAAGCATTTTATAGGGATCTGTAACACAGTAAGATTTAAACAGAAATCACGATTTTGAGGGCCATTTTCTAAAAAGTTTCTGATTAAAATAGCCCCTGTGCTCCCAGTAGTATCTTGGCGTCGTCACACATCCTAGCTGGCATTCTGGCACTCGGCTCCAGCTTTAACATCTTTCCTGGCACACTGAGGAGCACCTTCTGCATTTATCAGAGCTTTGATTTAAACCCAGGAGCATTTGTTATACTTCGGACTCTTATCCTTTTTGCCACAAGCTGAAGCTACTAGATGCAAATGATGAAAACACTGATACACAGATTTGATTTATCATCTCCTTATCCACTTTTTCTCTACAGTTTGGAAAATACCCCAGTATCTAAAATTCAGTATAACTAAAACAGAACCCCTCACTCTCATCCTCAGATCTACTTGTCCAGCATATACATAGTGTGAATGAGAGCTACACAATACAATTCTTCCAGTTTTGCAAGATCAAAGTTACAGGATCATTGCCTCTTGGTGGTTAGAAGCACTGGTGTTAAGGGTGCCTGATCCTATCACTGGGTGAAGCGGTGGGTTTGAGAGGCCTTAGTTTTCACATTTATTGAGTCAGGTTATTAATAGGTAATTGTCAGCTACCCTATGAGGTAAACTAATGTGGGTACAACAAATATATGCTATTGTTATTATTAGTCTACCTCCTAGTTGTTTTTCAGTTAAGTCCTATGCCCCTAACCTAGGTCATAGAAATTTTACCTTACCTGGATATCACATTATCTTTTTAACTTTTAAATGGGGCTCCTTAACTCCAACTATAGCCCTCTGATGTCCCAAACACTGCTCTCTCAGAACTGGTCCTAAACACAAACCTAAGAAAGTCAAAGCGATTTCAAAATCCACTGGCGATTTTCCACTGTCCATGAGATAAGTTTCAAATTCTAGTCTGGCATCCATAACTCTCCAGGAATGGTTCAGGTGGCAGAAGAGAAGTTGCTAGACAGAGCCCAGCAGCGTCCGCATGCATAATTGCTTGCTAAAGGAATAAATGGATTTAGAAGTCAAGTCTGGCCTTTACTTATACCTGCCATTAATTAGCAATGATGTCTGGTGGTCTTAGGTTCCTTATCTAGGGGCTGATTATCAATCTCATTCCTTTCTTTGCTTAAATCCTTTAATCTTCCCAGCTTCCCTGACATGGCTTAGCCTTAACTATACTTGTTTTACTCTCTATTCTCTCCAAATAACTTTTCTCCTGAAGTTCTGGTTCCAGTTGTTCCTTTTTCTTGAAACTTCCTGCCCCTCTAGACCAACATCCTGTGGAAATTTGAACCTCTTTACAAAAGCCAACCGAAATTTCACCTTATTCAAAAAGGCTTTTCACTTAAACTCTCATTTCTACCCTCTTAATTTTGGATGGGTTCCTTTTGGTGTCTGTCCCCTAGCTCATTGAAAGTACTTGACTCTAAGACTTAACACTTTCCTTCTTCTATCAGTTCTCTATCTGTCCAAAAAAACTGTAAGCTTACAGATGGCACAGTTAAAAACCTCATTCCTTGGCAAAGGATTGGATTCAACAATTTGAATTTAGACACTCATCAACTTGGTAGTCAGAAATGTACTTGCTACAAACTTCTCACTGACTTCCCAGGGTCTCAGGCTCTGGAAACTGTTAATGAAGAGATCTGAAGATGTGAAAACACAGCTACTGTTTTTTAAAAATTTTAGTGGGCAGAAAACTCTATAGAGAGAATTTTATCTATAATTTGTATTCTCAAACTGCAATTCTTGGACCATTTACATCAAATTAGTCTGTGGTGCTTGTTAATGATGCAGGTTTCTTGGCCTCAGACTTACTGATTTGGCATCTATCGGGTGGGGGCTGGGCATCAGCATTTTAAATATGTGTATAGTTTTAATGACTTTCAAATCAAGTTTGTATTTCTTGTGATTGTCATAACAATATTGTAATCTGGTGAGTCTCAAAGTGTGGCACAGGAGACTCTGGGGCTGGTTTCCCTGAGACTTTTTATTTCTTTTTTTAAAAGATTTTATTTATTTTTAAAGAGAGGGGATGGGAAGTAGAGAGAGGGAGAGAAACATCGATTGGCTGCCTCTTGACAGGAGAGCAAACCCACATCTCAGGCACATGCCCTGATTGGGAATCAAACCGGCAAACTTTTGCTTTGCGGGACGACATCCAACCAACCAAGCCATACTGGTCAGGGCTCCCTGAGACTTCTTAATATGATTTTCCAAAATAATTTTCATAATAATACTAGAACATTATTTGCCTTTTTCACTCTCTTTCTCACACAATATGGTGCAATTTTCCAGAAGCTACATAATGGGTGATAATCACAAGAGAATGAATGCAGGAGATGTGAGAATCTGTCTTCTATTAAGCCCGACATTAAAGAGACTTATTAAAATGTGAAACAATGCCATTCTTTTAGGAAGTGACAACTATATATATACGGGCGTTAAAAATCATGATTCTTAAGGAATTAAATGTAGTTTACAAGACTTGGGTTCTGAAAAGGCCAAGTCCCTTCACCCAGTGGGGCAGTTTCTGGGGACTGTACAAGGAGGGTGTTTCTAATGCCTTTCTTTCTTGCTGGGTCAGTCTGGGTTTCATGCAGTCACACTGCTAGGAGGTGATCCTTTCTGATGAGGGATCAGTTGTAAATTTAGTGGTAAATCAGAGCATGCCATTTCTCTGCATACAAACCTTCAATTGTTTTCCGTTGCTTTCCAAATAAGTCAAAATCCTTGTCCTGGCTCATAGACCCTACAAGATTTGGCCCGTTTAAGTCTCCGGCTGCATCTTCCTCTTTTTGCTTTAGTCACAGTGGCCTTTTTTCTTGACCTCACTAAGTTTATTTCCACCCGAAGGCCTTTGCATTTGCTATTTTTTGCCTCTAATGCTCTTCTGCCGACGTTCATAAGGCTTATTCCCTCACTTCGTTCCATCACATTATCCTGTTTAATTTTCTTTAAAGCCTGCACCACAACCTTTTAATTATGATTTTTGTTTATTTTTTTCAATTACAGTTTACATTCAATATGACTTTGTATTAGTTTAAGGTGTACAGCATAATGGTTAGACAATCATATACTTTACAAAGTGTTCCCTCCAATATTTCCAGTACCCACCTGGCACCATACTTAGTTATTCCAATATTATTGATTATATTCCCTATGCTGTACTTTACATCCCCGTGACTATTTTGTAACTACCAATTCGTACTTCGTAATCCCTTCTCCTTTTTCACTCAGCCCCCAACCGCCCTCCCCTGTTTTCCATTTCATGGTCGGCCTCTACACTAAAATGTCAACTATTTGAGAGCAGAGCTACAGTCAGCTCTAAACCACTCTGTTCGCAGCGCCCAGGATAGTGCCTGGCGCTATCCTGGCAGGTAGGGATCGTTTGGTAAATGTAGACTGGCAGCTCAGTCCACTCCTTCGGAGAAAAAGAACCCGCGGATACCCTAGCTCCCTTTAGTTCGTACCCCAAACCACCGCTCGAGCCCAAGCCCCGACAACCCCAGCTACTCCCCGGCAACGACCCCCACCAAGTCCTCACTCACCAGTACGGCGCCGGTCCTTTTCCGGCTGCAGCGGCTTGATCCGGAAGTGCTCTCGGCTAGGCGCGGCCTCCTCCGCGCTGAAAGACTACTTCTGGGGTCGTAGGAGCAGCTCGTCGGCAGCTGTGGCGGCGGTGAGGGTGGCAACAGGCTGGGTGTGGGGCTTCCAAGGAGGAGGCTGGTTGGGTGCGGGGTCCCGGAGCCGCATCCTCGCGGCCAGGTTCGCAGGGGTGGGAGATAAGCGATCTGGGGCTGGGCGACGGACTCCTCGCGGTTGGGCGCTCAGGCTGTGGAACCGCTTTGCTTAGTGAAGCGCTACGTTTGTGTTAGGAAAGCTCGTCAGGGACGAGACTTTGTCAACTTAGCGCATGTTTACACTAAACTTGTTCGTGGGAGGACGTGAGAGCGCTTATTGCCCTGTAGAGACAGCCTATTAATAATGATAGTGATGATGTAAACAACCACAAGTACTAACAGTAGCTGTTACCCATGACCCCTCTCGTGCATCGTTCCATTGCATCTTTATAGGAAACCTGTCAAATAGGTATTTCTAGCCGCGTTTTGCAGACGAGGAGACGGAAACGGGTGAATTAACTTCCTGATAATCACTGCAGCACAGAGTCGGCAGGAAGTCGCTTTAACTCCAGGCCCTTGCTCTTGGTTGCTAAGCTTAAGCTCTGTCTGTCCTGGGAGCTGTGTGGCTGGAAGTTCTCGAACAAAATGAGGGGAGTGTGTGCGCGCGTGTTCGTTAAGTGTATACATTTTTCGTTTTTAAAAAATGACTCAGCCCTTTATTTTTGCTTGTAAGGTTCCAGTTCTTGGAGTTTTCTCCTCCAATTATGAAAATAACACACGTAACTACAGAATACTTGGAAAACTTATAAAAGCATTAAATAGTGCCAGTCCGTGTACTTGGTATTTATTCCTCTTCCCCCACCTTTCCTGTTAGAATCTATTATGAATCCATTGAAAATAGGGGTGGTGTAGCCATCTAAAAAGGAATAAACAGCCAACACCACAAAAACTTCCCACCTAGGTTAAATATCGAGCACATTCTAGATGCTCATTAAATCTTTGTTACACAAATGAAAGAATATCAACAACCAGCGTTTAGTATTTTAGCGTCTGTCCTCCAGTCTTGTAAAATTATTTATGTAGTATGTATATAATATATACTATGTGTAGTGTGCTATATTTAAAATATATATATTGGTATTACTGAGTTGTAATTTGGAGAGCATTAGGAGAGTAAAAAGATAGTTTAAAATGTACATATTCAGTTTCATAAGACTGTTAAATTTGATGCAAGAACTGTGTAGTCTTTCCTTTTAGGCCCTTAGAGTGAAATGGGGCAGAGATTGTATCTTTATTTCTCAATTTCTAGAGCTTGGTACCTACTAGGCACTCAACAAATGTTTGTAAGCTAATGAATAAATGAGTGAATATTACAGGCTTCGTTGGTCTGTCTATGGGTAATTGTATCTAGATTGTTTTTTTCTATGTGTTTTGGGAATTGTATATATATCATATAATCATATGACCTAGGATCCATGGTGTTTTATGAAAATCTAACTTTCTAGCCTATGCTTTCCCGCCATTCTTTTCCCTGTCGTATTTACTACTGCTATCTGTCCATATTCCATACTGTCTGTCATACCTCAGGCCTTTGATCTTTCCCTTGTCTTCTTTCCACACCTTTGAATTCTCTCATTGACATCTTAATCTGTCAAAATCCTAAGTGCTCTTTAAAACAGGCATTGGAAGCTCTGATGCCTGCTTTAAAGCATCTGAGATTCCAATGCCTATAGGGGCTAATCAGTTAACATAAACAGTCAAGGTGTTTTGGGTGGAGATTTTTTTTTAAAGATTTAATTTATTTATTTTTAGGGAGGGAAAGAGAGGGAGAAAAAGAGGGAAACAACAATGTGTGGTTGTCTCTCTCACGCCCCCTGCTGGGGACCTGGCATGCAACCCAGGCATGTGCCCTAGACTGGGAATCCAACCAGTAACTTTAGTTTACAGGCAGGCACTCAATCCACTGAACCACACCAGCCAGGGCTGGGTGGAGATTATTTGTAAACAAAATTTGACTTTTAAATGTTAGCAATTGATATTTTAAAAGTGTTTAAACACTGTACAGGCCAAATAAAATCATCTGAAGGGTGGATTTGGATCTCAAAATCCCAGTTTGTGGCCAGTATTCTATGTTTATTTTAGATATGTTGTCCATGAATATTATTCCCTGTTTCTAGCAGACCTCTTTCTCTCTATTAGAATTTTGTATATACCTCAAGTATAGTGCTCCTTCCAAGCTGCCTTCATTGTTACTATGCCTCCCTTTTCTAGTACATTAGAAATATTTTTATGGTATGGATTGGGTCTAATTCTACAGTTAGTGTATAGTGGTACAAAAATCTGTGCTTATACATATCTAAGGTCTTATTGTGTGTATATGTATGTATGTACATATCAGATACATTTATGTCTTCTCTGGTGATGTTTGGGTATCCTGCGAACCAGCATTTGTTCTTTATAAAAACACCAATAGTAGCTTGACTTTAATTGCCAAAGAGCTGTACTTCTGAAGGAGTTGAATTGGTTAGCATTGCTTTTCAGTTGGTGGTCTGGTGTAAATCATATCTGATGGAATGCTTAATGAGTAATAAAATTTTTTAAAATGTCAGTATAAAAGGAAAAATTGATAAATTGGGCCTCATTGAAATCAAAATGTTTTGCTTTTGAAAGACCCATTAAAGAGGATGAAAAGATAAGCTACAAACTGGGATGAAATATTTGCAAATCACATGTCTGACAAAAGACTTGAATGTAGAATATAAAAGGAGCTCTCAAAACTCCACAGTAAAAGATAAAATCCAATTAGAAAATGAGCAAAAGATACAAATAGGTATTTCACTCAAGAGTATATACAGATGGCAAATGAGCACATGACAAGATGTTCAGTACCATTAGCAACTAGAGAAATGCAATTTAAAGCCATGGTGAGATATCATTACACACCTCTCAGAATGGCTCAAGTAAATAAAACCACCAAATGCTGGTAAGAGTGTAGAGAAACTTGATCACTCATGTGTTGCTGGTGGGAATGCTATTTTGGAAAAGAGTATGACAATTTGTTATAAAATTAAATAAGTACCAGTGATAGAACTCTTGGTTATTCCAGAGAAATGAAAGCTTATGTTTTCATAAAAAGTTGTACATGAATGTTCATAGCTGTTTTATTTGTAATAGCGCCAAACTGGAAACAGCTCTGATATTCTTCAACAGCTATAAATGATGGAGCAAAGTGAGATACAGACATACCAAGGAATACTACTTAGCAATAAAAAGAAACAACAACTTAGGTGGATCTTGAGGGTCTTATGCTAAGTGAAAAAAAGTTGATCTCAAAAGGTTACATACTCTATGGTTGCATTTGTATAACATTTTGAAATGACATTATAGAGATGAACAGATTAGTGTTTGCCATAAGATAGGAGGAAGAAGGGATGTCACTATAAAAGAATAACCCAAGTGATCCTTACGATTGAACGTTTCTGTATCCTGATGGCTGATGGTCACAGAAATCTATATGTGATAAATTTTCTTAGAAATAATTACACATGCACAAAATGAACTGTTGAAATCCGAGTAAGGTCAGTGGATTGTCTATCAATATTCTGGTTGTGATATAGTATAATTGTACAAATTGTTACCATTGGGGAAAACTCAATGAAGACTATATCAGATTTCTCTATTATTTCTTAAACCTGCATGTGAGTTTGTGATAATCTCAAAATAAAAGTTTTTTAAAAATAACTTATACAAAAACCCTAAATAATTAATTTTTTCTTGGGCCTTTATTTTACCAGGTGATGATCTAATCATGTCAGATAAAGATGATGTTGAGACTCCAGTGATAACTGAAGCAGCCCCCAACCTTGAAGATGGGAACTGTGAGCCAGCCAAGAATTCTGAGTCTGTTGACCAAAGTGTCAAGCCAGAGAGCAAACCAGAACCTGTAGTTTCTACTAGGAAGAGACCAGAGTCCAAACCTTCCAGTGACCTTGAAACTTCAGAAGTTCTTCCAGTTCAAGCACCAGAGGCTGCGGGCAAAGTAGAGTATCTATTAAAAAATGGAATCAATGTCAATTTAGGATTGTACCTATTTCTTTCCTTTTATAACCATAAAACATAATACTCTCAGTTTTGTAAATGAGTGTCTGTGCTGTGTGGTGCTTACATGCAAGTTATATATATCTATCAGTCAAACACTACATTTCTTTAGCCAAATAGTATGTATTTGTTTGCTCATACTTTTGGCCAGTAATTTTTAGATGCTTTGTCTATAGGCTCTTATTATCCTCTAATTTTTTAATTTTCCTTTGCCTTTTGTTTTTACGGCTACTGGGAAAAATAGGAGACTGTTTCCAAAGATGTACCCCAGACTGGATGGGGCTTTTGGGGCAGCTGGGGCAAGTCCTTACTTTCCTCAGCCTCAGCTACGGTAGCGACAGTAGGTAAGGTCATCGGTTATTTTATGAATTTTTGTGTGTATTTTGCTAGAGATCTGTGTTAAAAATGATTTTATTAATTTCTCTTTTATGTTTTCTTTATTGTTTGAGGATGCATTAGTAATGATTATTATAGCCACCAGAATTTGCAGCATTTCCTCCTTAGAAGGTTGATGTTCAGGCCTTGTTAATGTAAAACTGTTCTTTGGTGAGAATGAATTTTTTTTTTCTTTTGGTAAAGATACATTCCCAAAGATTATACAAGACCAAAGTAAAATGTTCCTGTGGCTGTAATGAAATTAAAAATCTATGGCTTTGATTTTTGGTTTGTTCAGTTTTGGTGACTAATAGCAAGTAATATTGAAATATAAAGATGTTACCATTTTTCTCATTAGGACAAGGTATTACAAATGTCATTGAGAAGGCAGAGATTTCCCTTGGAATCCCTAGTCCCAGTGAAATTTCAAGTGAGAGCCAGTATGCAACAGGTCAGTATACAGAAACATGAAGACCCAGAATTAGGTATCAG